ATGAAACGATTTTGAAAAAAAAAAAAAAGTAAAAATAAACATAAATCTAAAACAAATAATTTTGTTGATCTTCAACCAAATATGCATAAATGTGAAATTGCTTCCCATAAACATAGTGCGACGGATAAATTGTCGTCTAAATTACGCAAAAATGAAAATAACATTGACATCTAATTTCCACTGATATATTTGCCAATATTACACTAAAATATCTTGAAATATGAAAGACTAAGTTGTCTTTCATATTTCAAGATATTTTAGTGTAATATATATATATATATATATATATATATATATATATATATATATATAATTTTTAAAACAGGGTTCATAATTTATTTTTAAAATAAGATAGAATAGTATCACACCGAATAAAATAATATCTTAGGGTACATTTCGGCGAACTCATCTTCAGAAATTGATGTCGTCGGTATAAAGCTAAATTTCCGAAAAGAAAAGTTCCTTTTTCAATAATTGAATTTTAAAACAGCACCAATGTCGAGAGAGAAAAATGAAATATTTTCCCCCAATTGGCTACGTATTCACCAAAAAAGACGGGTTTATGTTTTAATTCTCTCTGCTTACACAGGGTCGAATGCTGTATATTAATAACAACTGCTTTCAAGATGTTATATAATATTATATAATACTTACCTTCAATAAAATCGTTATTGGCTTCAAGCATGGCCTCCAGAATTTCCTGCAACTCTTTTGGACGGTCTCCTTGATTAAGTTGGGGAATGCTGCTACAATACTTGCCTTCAATTCATCTTTGGTGTTACAAGTAATTTTGTTGATCTATCGTTAAATTGCACCCCACATAATAATCAAGGGACTTGAAGTCTGGGGAGTTAGGTGGCCAGATGTAAGAGGTGATATGGTCGTAGAAATTGCCTGACAGACATAACTGGGTTCTTTTGCTTGTGTGGCATTGTGCAGAATTCTGTTGCCAGACATAGACTCTTCCAGCAGCCACCTTCTTGATTCAGGGTAACACCACCTCATCAAGGTGTTGAGTCTGTGGAAAAATAAATGGTGGCATAACGTCGCTATCATTAGTGATCACTTCAAACACCTTCATAATCATCATTAGACATTCTGAATCCTCAGATTGACACCCAAACACTTTGAAATGTTCGTATTATTGGAGCTTCGGGCGCGAATACCAAACAGTACAAGGATGTCGTTTCCAAACTTCTGGCGGAGTGAATTGCGCCAGGGTGCTCTTTTTCTTACAGATATTGGCCTTCATACTCTAATATACTGTGAAGTCTACAAAATAAACAACAAACAACGCACAGATAAAATTATAAAATTTACGACAATTTACCCATCGCACCCTGTATACCCAATATATATATATATATATATATATATATATATATATCTTTGTCGCCATATTTATCACAACATTTCGGCCGTTGTACGCTTCGGCCTTCTTCAGGTGGTTGGAATTTCGAACTGAACCTTTTATTTCGCTCACTGGGGTAGACTGTTCTTGTTCCACGTTTCAACATGATTCCCACATATGAAGAGAGAAGGGAGATCACCGCCCTCTGTGGGATCATGTTGAGATCATAGACAAGGAATACAACTGGAAAATTCGTAAACTTAAGGAATCAGCACATATGCTAGGCCACAAAAATCTCCTGAGCCGACCAAGCATAGAAATAAATATAATATGGGAACCAGTAATAAGGAGTGCCAGAGAAAAGCAATGATAACAACAAAGTTGCAATATGAGCTCTGGTAAAAACATGCAATGATAACAGCAAAAATTGCAATATGAACACTGGTAAAAACATGCAATGATTACAGCAAAATTGCAATATGAGCACTGGTAAAAATGGTTGCTGAAGACATTAGGTTTATAATACCCAGAAATTCCTACCCAGACATATGGCACAGTGGATAAAGGCGTTGGTTAGATCCAGTGACACGACCCGATGAGTGTGAGTTCAATACCCGGTTAAGGCAGTGGAGAACTTTCAGAGAGAAATAACTGATAACTGACATCCATCAAACATGGCACGTGGAAATAGACCAGTCTACCCCAGTGAGCGAAATAAAGGGTTCAGTTCGTAATTCCAACCACCGGAAGAAAGCCGGAGCGTAAAACGGCCGAAACGTTGTGATAAATATGGCGACAAAGATGAGGTAAATAGTCCGAATTATGTAAATAATGTACATATATATGTATGTGTGTAGGGATGTGGGTGTAGAGTATAGAGCCATAGCCTCAGCACACTAGATGTTTTTATACAAATTCTCAATCAATAAAAACCTCAAGTACGACTCAAGGTAAAGGATCACTGTGTGGTGGTTTATAAGTGTAAGAAAAGGCAAGAAGTGAAGTTCATGGAATTATGCAGCAAAGATTACACTTAATCTTAGAGTTGGTCAAGATTGTAGTGATTGGAAAAACATCCTGCCGGGAAACTGTTCCACATAGCTGCAGTTAATTCGGAAAAATCACTCCGAGTGAAACTTCCTCCTTACTAACGGAATACAAAAGGAATGTGAATGATTACGTGGCATTTGCCCCATTTGCAAAAGTTAGAGCTAGTGGTACCAAGTAATGAAGATAATGATGTTTTTGTGGTTTCTGTTGCAAATAGGTTTTATTCGGTGAACTTAGTAGCCCCATACACAACCGTTTTTGGATTCAGAGTTGCTTTTCTCCTAGGGTAGTTGTCATCCAAAGCTAGCTTTGTGGGAAGAAAGAATAGGCAAATTCATCCCTCTCCAAGAGCATTTTTTGCGAAAGGGAGCACAATAGGCTTTCAAATCAGTACGCCAATCCCACTATCCGCTATTCTACTCGCCCATTATATATATATATATATATATATATATATATATATATATACAAAAAATGTACACAACAGATTCATAAAATCAAAAGAAAATGGTTGAATACATCAACACAGATATAAGGACAATATTCTCCAATACTAACGTTATTTTCAGTTAACAATATGAAAATACCGTTTCTCTACATTCCAGTTGCTAGGAAAATTCTGTTTTTTGTTTTTATTAGTTATCTTGATCAATTAAATTCATTTCGTATTTTGCTTTAATAAAGTCCTAATTGAACGAAACGCCTCAGCAATTACTAGTTTTTCTATTGTCATTTTTATTCATAACTTGTCTTCTCTAATGGTTAAATCGGAGAAATTTTCATATATATATATATATATATATATATATATATATATATATATATATATATAGATAAACGCTCTTACTAGTACTCAAAACAACACAAAAAAAATATATCGCAAACAGACAAAACATGAAGAAAAACTAACAACACCAAAACAAACCCGCTTGAAAATGGCTATGGAAATGATCGTAAGCACTTGGGACAGTGGACGGTACGGACAAACAACAAAATGTAAGAAAGCTGAAAAAAAACTAAAAAAAAATAATAAAATCGCTCTTGTCCGTCATATTTAATGAAAGGTGTTACACAGAAAAATTGCTGGCCAAATATGCATTAATCAATATATATATATATATATATATATATATATATATAGATATATATATATAGATAGATAGATAATATTATTGGTAAATATACGCATACATATGCAAAATCTATAAATATATATACATACATGCATACACATACATATATATTTTTTGAATAAAAAAAAATCCCAAGAGGATAGAATCCAGGTAGAACTCAATGTCCAGGACAGAGTAAGGATATAATAAAAATGCTTAAACACTAATATTCCACAATCATAATCCAATTCATCAGACCGACAAATTTGTAGGTCTGATGAATTGATTGTATTTACGATTCCAATGGAATAAATTATGACCATGGGATATTAGTGTTTAAGCCTTTTATTATATATATATATATATATATATATATATATATATATATATATATATATATATATATATAGTTGAATGAATATGAGTTTGAGACGGTTGGTTTCATGCTTATACGTTCCTCAGACAAACTCTGGCAATATTCATGTTTATCTGAGGATCGTAGAAGCGTGAAACCAACGGTCACAAGCTCATATTCATTCAACTAAATATGTTAGCTCTATCAGTGATATTGAGCGCTTCCTAATAAGCACTGCGCATATATAAAATATATATAGAATATTATATATATATATATATATATATATATATATATATATATATATATATGTGTATGTATGAAATCATGAATAGTGAGAAAATCAACAATAATTTGGAATAAGTCATTGTTATTATCAAATTATTACAAAATATAATTTTATTTTCTTACTGAATCGTAAAAACGTATCTCCAAGGCAGCCATGCTTGAAACTAGCATTTACCTATTCTTTGCCTTATATCATGAATAGCGGGAACACAAGGCAAAAAAAAAAAAATAAAATAAAATGATGTATCGTTCTAGAAGCAAAAACAAATCGATAACGAATTAAATGAGAATTCCGACTGAGTAATATTTCTCTAAATAAGAATTACAAAAGAAAGAATATGATAAGAGAGCAAGTATCGATTTGGCTTCAAACTTGTTTATCTATTCTGATTTTTTGTTTTTGTTTTTTAAGCCATGTCCCTTCAGAATGTAGGCGATCATAGCTCTCCATAATTTGTTTCTTTTTCTAAATGAATTTCTATGACTTCTTCGGAAAGAGAGTGGAGGAGGTTTCTTTTTTCCTTCTCAACGGTTTTGAATTTAAAGATGTCGTCCTAGGATTCAGAAAGCTAGTCTGATCGATTGATGTGGATTTTATACGGCTTATCAACCTATTGCAGCTTATTTAAATACAGAAAAGATTTTTAGACGGTAAAAATTTAATAGAGATAATAATGATTTACTGATACAAGTCACTACTAATTAACCTATAGGGTTGAGGATGGGGTGGATTCATACCTTTCCCAAGGATAATTACGCCTAAATGAACCCGACTGTAACTGGAACACAGCTTTTCGATTTCCAATTCCGAGCCGTTATTCATTACGTCTCCTACACATCCTTGCTTACAGCAGCTGTTATTCCAAGCGGTCACCCATCTCGGAACTGACCAGGCTCGACGTTACTTAACTTCGGTGATCGTTTGAGAACCGGTGTGATTCAGCCGTAAGCCCATTTTAAATTAACACCAAACCTCAAGTGGAACATGTATAGACGATTCATCGCTAAAGAAGCAGAAAAAGCGTGGTTCTTTGCTAACCGTTTCTCTCAGGCGGAATGTGTCAAGTCTTTTACTGTTCTGCCGTTACTTCCATGGAAAGTGCTCGGACAAACTCCATTCAATGGTTCCGCCAATTCTAATCTCCATGGCTATAACCCGTCATGCCACTCACATTGCAGCAAAACATCCACATTCCATCTCTATTCCATCGGGGAGAAGTAGATTCCACCCGAACAACTTATTCCTATGAACCATTGGTCTGTGGAACCAACATCCAAGAGGATGTTCCTCGATCACTACAATCTTAACCTGTTCAATTCTAGGGTTAGTTGTTATCTTCCTCACATATCCACACAAACTTCCTCTTACTCTGTAACCCTCTCACTCAAAGGGTCCCGGGCCTTGTATAAAATGAACCTTACTATAAAAAGAATAAAAACATCATTGGCAAGAACTCTACCAACTTGCTGAGGCAGTTACGAAAGACTATCATGACGAAACGTCTAAGAAAATTGACGAAAATTTGTTTCATCAGGATAATGCTCCACCACACATATCCTTGCTTTCAATGGCTGCTCTGGGTGACACTGGCTTTGAACTGTTTGATCAGCCTCCCAATTCTCTTGTTTTGTCTATCATCTCTTACCCAACATAAAAAAAAAACTTGACTGGAAACCGGTATCTACAGTTGATAACTTCAAACCAACAGGGTTAAAAGTCTTCTCTGCAGTCAGATACCAGTTTACCTGGAAGAAAACAATAGTCATTAATAAGATTTGGAATTAATGCATGCAAGATTGCAAAGCTCTGGCATCACTCTGTCATAGTCAGCCTATGAACCATTCATGACTTCAGATTCGCTTTAATTGTCCTTTACATTATTCATTAAGGAAAAAAATAATATGATTATTAGCACAATTAGAAGACAATTTTTAACATATTGTTCCAGCAAAATCACCTTTGTACATTTCGATATCAGTAAAATAATCCACAAAACGAATATTTTAAATAAACTTTTAAATTTGTCATTAAGAAGTTATGCGTGTATAATGGCTCTAACTATTTTGAATAAGTTATTGAAACCGTCTTCTACTACGTGTGATATCCCTACAGGATGTTTGCGATCATGGCTCTCCACAGCTTCCTGTTCTCAGTAGCTCTTACTAAAGTTTGCCTTTTTTATCTCTCCTAAACCCTTTTTCACCATCCATTCATCTAAGCTCGCTAGGTAGGTTATAACGTTGCTTTCCTGTGTACTTCTTGCTTTCAATCTGTGCTGTGAGCATCAAATTTTCCAAGCCCTCTTTGCTCATTCCTAGAAATTTCAACTCTCTCTTCCTGATGCTAAGTATAAGTGTCTTTTTTCTTTCCATTTTCTCTAAAATTTGCGAGGTAAGTTATGCGTTGTTTTCCTCTATCGCTCTATCTGCCCTGTGAGTATCGAATTTTCCAAGCACTCTTTCCTCATTATGTGCCCTAGAAATTTCAACTGCCTCGTCCTGATGTTAAGCATAAGTGTCCTTTTTGTTTCCATTTTCTCTAAAACGTCACTGTTACTTACGTGTTCGCTTCATTGTATTTTCAACATCCTCCTGTAGAAACGATTTTCTGTTGCTTCAAGCCATTTTTTCATCTGTGAGTAAAAGTGTCCATCATTTACTGCCATATAGAAGGACTGATATTACGTAATATTCAATTCTCTTTCCTTTGTTTCTAACGAAATTTTTCTGTTTCTCAATACTTTGCTTACTTTTTGGAAGGCATTTTAGAATAACCTTTTTTTTATTGAATGCTAAAAACAGTTAAAAGGTTGGGCGAACAACGTCTAAGTCTGGTGATTACATAATTTTGCCAGGGATACTACCTCTGGCAAAATTATTGGGTGAATTAAATTTAACTGGAGGTTATTAGCGTCGCTTATATCAGGCTCAAGACCACAATTAAAGTACACTTCGCATGATCACGAGACCCTTGACCTTGTAAGGCCGTTTCCTTCTCATAGAATGGTTACCAACCAGTCTGTCCTGCTATTTGCCCATAGCTGGAACGAGAAGAGATGGTTTTATACCTTTTCCAAGTATATTAGCAGGTAAGTGAATGTAATAATCTCAACTGGAATTTTAATCTGCTTTCCTATTCCTTAATCCAAATCTCTATCCTTCACCCCACCGTGCCTCCAAGCGGATCTAGTGAAGTATCGCTAATTATTGTCCCGCTTCGTTTAGTCTGGCACAAGGCTGCAGGTGTGGAGTATCTAATGATCGAACTCATAATTAATAGTCAATTCAACTGGCTCACTAACACTTAAGCCACCGCAAAGTACCTAAATTTAGTTGGAAGTTGGATGATAATGATACACAAAGGGGAGATAAATATGATAGAATTAAATGAAACTGGTACAATGATTAAATTTATTAAGGTGAGACAAATGAATTTGGTAACAATAAGCCAATCTAGAAATCAATATCAATTAATTCGTTCATTTTTATCGAGTATATTTAAAGAAAACAAATCTGCGGCCGTTCGATTACTTTGCCCTTGATTTTACGATTGCGCCATGACACCTACATTTTACTTTCTTTATGCGTCGAGTGTATTCGGAACGTGGGCGATCATGGCTCTCCCCAACTTCGTAACAATTAGACAATCTAGAAAAATTGTAGAAAATTTTTTCTATGAGGTAATTTTTTACATCTATTTTCTGTTTATTTATTTTACTTGATGCATATCTATTTTCTTCTGAGACATCGTTCGATTATGACAATCTTTACAGAGAAGCATAACCAAATAGGTAGTCTCTAGAGACTTTTAATTAATACAGCTCAAGGGTATATAAGATGAAATTAGTCCCTTAATCGGGGAAGTGAAGTGAAGAAAAGGTCACTGTTCATTACACAGGATTTATTGGCAAGATTCCTTCAGGGATTTTATTCTATTTCTGTTTTTATAAATATTGAAGACGAGTATTGATAGTAGGCGTCGATGGGGGCCTAAACCTTTTCTTTTACACAGCTTCTTATATAGGTTATTTGCTCTGAGAAACCTGCGGATACCGTAAAATGCTGTTGAGAGATTTGAATATTCCAGGAAATACTATTAAGAGATTTGCATAAGCCATAAAATAGACTTGAGAAATTTGTATATGCCATAAAATTTTATTGCAAGATATGCATGTCTTAAAATGGTATTGAGATATTTTGCCATGAAATGGTATTGTGATATTTGCATATGCCATGAAATGGTATTGAGAAATTTGCATATGTTATAAAATGGTCTCAACAAAATTGTGTTAATTAAAGCAGTCCGATAGGTTTAAAAAAATTTAAACATACTTTTTCTTTTTTTTTTTTTTAAGCGTTTCACCCCAAGCAAGGCGGGAAACCACTAGGATACAAGGGGTTACAGGAAATAGCAAGATCAGATAGGCGTGATAGAAGAAAGGATGAGGGTAGTGGATAGATCAAGGCAACTGGAGATGTCGATTGACATTACACTTGAATAGCTGGAGATTATAGCTTGCAGGGAAACAGAAGAAGGGAAAGGAGTTCCACAGGCGAGAGGTGCGAGACATGAAGCTATTAGAGTAGAAGAGACGGCTACATTTAGGAGTTTCGACAGTGAGGGGGTGAGAGCGGGATCCCAGCCTCGTAGGGCGCTTGAACTCATGAAGTCTGGGAACAAGCAAATGCAGCTCCTCGGAGCAATTTCCGTGAAAGTATTTGTAGAACAGACAGAGGGAGGCGACGGCGCGTCTGTGAGAAAGTGACTGTAGACGAGACGCCAGGGCAGGGCCAACTATATTGCATATCCGCCTCTGGAGCCTATCAAGAACCCCGAGGCAAACAGAAGAGACGCCAGACCATATATGGCAGCAATACTCCATGCAAGGGTGAATTGTGGATTTGTATAGCTCAGAAGCATATAATTATTTATTTATTTCTTATTTTAATACAGGTATTGAATTCACGACTATTTGCGTCCTGCCACTTTGTCATGTGTCCTCAAGGACACATGACACAATGAATAAAAGTTGGTTAGATCCAGTGACACAACCCAAAGAGTGTGAGTTCAATACCCAGTTAAGGCAGTGGAGAACTTTCAGAGGGAAATTAACAGGAGATAACTGATAACTGACATCCATTAAACAGTCTACCACAGTGAGCGAAATAAAGGGTTCAGTTCGACATTCTAACCACCTGAAGAAGTCCGGGGTGTACAACGGCCGAAACGTTGTAATAAATATGGCGACAAAGATGGGGACAATAGTCCGAATAATGTAAATAGTTTACCTCTGCTTGTTTTGTTTTCAATATGTCCTGTCAGTGTTCTCATTATGTGCTTATGAAAATGCAATTGTCATCTGATTTTACAATCAGGTGACAATTGCTCTCTGTGTAACGCTCAATTATACCGTATTAAAAAAAAAAAAGCCTTCTTTTTTACTTTGAGAGGAATGCAAAGCAAATTTTAAGCAAACAAACCTAATTCAAACCTTCGTGTTTCTTCTGGCTGGAAAGATCATGGCTCTCCAGAACTTCCTATCATTTGTAGCTCTTAATGATTATTTTTATTATCCATCTGACTCCCTGGTTTGCGCATCATTTACACAAGCTTACTTTCTGTTTTCCTCTTCAACACGTCCTGTGAGTATCAAATTCTAAAAGCCTTCTCTCCTCATTATGTATCTTAGAAATTTCAACTGTCTCCTTATGATTTAAAGTATTAGGATCATTGCAAAAATTGGTGCCCGATTAGAAATAATGAAATCGAGCATCAACATTTGCAATAATCTGATATACCGGGTGTAACAGTAAAATTGTTCAAATCCTGTGACAGCAAAATTGTCCAATTGTTAGATTAAGCTTTGAGCCGTTGTATCTTAGAAATGATTAAAGATATCTTACTGGAATTCACCGAGGTTTTTTATAACACTATTGGACTCTAC